AAAGAATAGACTATTAATGGGACTGATTATTAGCGGGCCAAGCCTGCATGTTCAGGTGGGTCTGCAAGGAGGAGTAAGATTCACCAAGGTCCTAAATGATCTTACCAGAAGTTGGTTCTAAATATGTAGCAGTAATTAAGTGGGAAGGCATATAATGCCTTCCCAGTCATGCAAATGGGTGGAAAATGTGGGGAATGGCTAGAACCCAGACTCCCAGGCTCCCAGTGTATGGATCAGTTCAGCTAAGGATCCTCTAAGATGGGATACGAACCTTCAACTGGTAAGTGCCAGGTGAGCAATTGGGGAGCAGAGAAGGGAAGGTATCTCTGCGAGGCATAATTTACTAAATTCCTCTTAATATAGCACATCTGTGCACCACCTTTCACAAGGGTCCAATTGCCAGACCACAATTAAGCCCTTTTTTTCCATGTTTGCGAAAGTTGCAAATGGGACAGAGATATAGAACTAGTTGCAAAAGAAGCCCATGGGGGGACATTTCCACAGATGCCACATTCCCAAAACATGGTTTGGAAGCCAAATTTAGTTCACACTGAGAAAGGGCTTTGTTGTTGCCATAATGTGAGAAAAGTGGGACCAAGTTACAAATGTGACGTCAGACTAGGAAAGCCCCAAATTCAGTGTTCTGGTTATATGGCAAGCTCTGCCATCCGACATTATGCAAAGTGGCTTCTGTTTTTATTGTTAAGTTGGATAATTGAATCAAACTGATTTTTTAAAATTTACTGTGTTAGGTGTTATATTTCTAATTATTTGCCATGTTGACACAACTTGGATTGATCATAGTACAAGAAAAAAAAGTTAATCCCAGTCACAGAATGGATTATTTGAAAAAAGTATGAATCAATTATTAATTTTCAATAGAGACAAATGTCAGGGGAAGAAAAGGTGCTAAACACTATAATGCATGTATGATTTCTCACATTGGGAGAAGATAAGTGAGAAAAAGCACTGCATGTGACAGATGTTAATGGCATCACTTAATGCACTACTGGAAGTTGCCCAGATAGTAAGATGATTAGGGCCATAAATTAATTTCCCACTCCATTCCTTGCACTTTACACTTTTAGGAAGAGTCATCTAACAGAGAACTTTTGTGAATTCTCTTGGTGCATTTGCAAAGTTCTGGGGCTTGAGCAGCGGTGGAAAAAAATCAGAAGCATTTTGTCTTAGTTGCAGTGTACTTACGTTGAGTCCTCACTGGACGCATCTACACAAAACACTGGAGTGTGACAGCTCCTGACGAGCTTCCAGCTGCATGAGAAAGCTGCACTGGGCATGGGGCTTGTCCCTATGTGCACAAGGCCAGAAGAGCTCTTCAGTGGTATCTATTTCCTGGCCCTGTGCACATCAGGACCCATCCTGATATGCACAGGGCCAGGAGATGGCTGCTGCTGCAGCTGGTAGAGCTGTCCTGGTCCCATGCACATTGGGGCCAGCTCCCGTGCTCCCTGCCAGCCCCTGGCTAGCTCCCCCTGGCTGCTCTAGGGGGCCCCCAGGGAAAGCTTACTGCACAGTAAGCCTTTATAGCTTTAATAGCGTGTGTAGCTGTGCCCACTGTGCATGCAATTGGCTTCCTAAAAATGCAACGGCTCCAGAAGGCAGTACTTAATAGGAGGTAAGGGTTATTGAATCAGGTTGGAAATCCCTCTTCTATCTCTTTTAGGTATAATAATTGTTTTCTCTCCCTGCCTCTTTGAATGTGGGTTAGTATAGTGTACAGTTCCCAATGCTATTTTTTCCTCCTCTTGCAATTGATTTTTTTCTCAAGAGTCCTCGTACTAAGAATAGTAATAAAATGAGTACTTTATAAAAGGAGTGCTTTCTGTCCTGATTTACTTTTTCAAGGTGAAGGATTTCAGAGCTCTCATTCTAGAAGCATTCAGTTAATTCACTTAAAATATGATTCTACTCTAAAAATGATTTCTTAGAAACAACATCTGAGGCTCCATATTTACTACATATCACTGGTTTGATATCTTTTTTTACTGTTTACAAATAAAATTCTGTTTTCCTCCCCTTAAAATAGAGGTTGGACTTTGAAAGCTAGTATTTTCTTTTGCCAATCATCAGTTGAAATAAAGATTTGTGGGGCCATGTAATGTCCTCAGTTTCTATCTGCACACACCTACAATATGGCTTTCAGACAGTAGCTGACAAAGACATTATTTGGCCTCAAGAATCATCATTACTTAA